CTTCTCCTTCTCTCCATGATCATTTCCGTCAGTTCCTTGAGGCAGATCCGGGCAACAGCCAAAAGTTAACCAGGTTTAAAACTTGTCAACTTTTGCACGCACTGCCAATGTAGTTACCCCACTAACCCAGCTATTAAGGCTTTAGCCGATTCAATTCAACCAGCATATTTTCTAAGACGTGGAGGTCGTGTGGAAGCAGGTTGCCTTAGAGCCGCCCCGGCCTGTCCAGGTTGGCGTTGGCCTTTTCACCCTAGGCTAAAAAAAAAAAAGAAAGTTTAAAACTAAGTTTGTTCTCGTGGCTCCCGTCCACGTTGGACTCTTTACAGTTCAGTAACTGTCAGAAATGAGCTTTAGTGATTTTATTAGGCCTGACACCCCAGTGAATGTTGGCTGAGAGCATAAATGGCTTTTTTGTTGCTGGAGTTGCTGAGACACCTGCCTGGCACATTCAAAGTGTGTTGTTTTATTGCATAGTTGTGAACAAAAGCAGAGAGGGGGGGTGAGATACTTTGTGAACAAACACTTTTAAGCCTGTCGTTGCACTGCTGAAGAAAAGCCAGCTGGGTTGTCTGATAGATGTACTTATTCATTAGATATAACTTTGAGTATAAATTGAATTAATAATACATGAACACAAATATAATCCGTACGCGGTTTGTTTCCAACACAAACAATATCTCTCTCTCTCCCTAACTCTCCCTTTCCTTGGGTTTCCTCCTTTTTTCCCAGTTCTTGGGAGGGTGGGTTGCTGTTTAACTGAAGTAACCAATCGGTCAAGGATTAAAGAAGAAATAAATGATAAGACAAAGGAGAATTGACAAAAGAAGGGTATTTCTATCCAGCCAAGCCGCTTGATGCAGGCAGATTTATTCCTGGGATGTAATTTCAGTTGGGTTCAGGGCTGCCGGCGTGCGAATGAAAAGCAACCTCTTTGGGCGGGCATCGTGCCTGCCAGGGCGCTTGGCACGTGCCTGGAATTACCCAGGGTGGCCCAGAAGGTCCGGCGCTGGGAAGCCTGGCCTGGACCTTCTCGTAAGCCTGGCAGCTAAAGTTGGTTAAGTAAGCCACCGTTGTGCTGAGCTACAAACCACGGCTTAAAAAGCAGAAGGAAGGGTCCCTTGGTGCTCTCTGAGCCTGGTGGTTTCATGACTCAAACTAGCGGTAACAGCACGGATGAGGTTCCCTAGTTGGGTCATGAAACGTCTGTTGGGTGACACCGTTGGGTGTTGGCATGTTGTTTTTTGGTGAGCCAGAAGGATCTGCCCCAAGGAGACCCTGGGCAGGAAAAGGGTTGTGGAGTTGGAGATTTCACACAACCAAGGAGGGCAGGCACTATGGATGCCATGGGTGGTGGGCATAGGGGCCCAGCGCCATACAGAACCATCGGGACTTTGGAGGCCTTTTAGTCCAACCCCAAGCCAGGCATGTGGCTGGGCAAGGACCCCGTTAAGCCCTCCGCATATGCTCAGAGGATTGAGGTCTTCACAGCCACTGGGGTGGGGAGGCGGCGGAACGACGGGGAACGGGGCCAAGCCAAGCGGGACCTCTAGCCACTGGTTAGTGCCAAAGGGCACCTGCTGGTGGTGGCATCCCAGCAAGACTCTCTTTAGAGCAGGGGTCTCCAACGTTGGCTACTTTAAGCCTGGAGGACTCCGACTCCCAGAATTCCCAGCAAGACTCTCTTTAGAGCAGGGGTCTCTGGGAATTCTGGGAGTCGAAGTCCTCCAGGCTTAAAGTAGCCAACCTTGGAGACCCCTGTTTTAGAGGGTCTTTGGGGCAGGAGAAAGGGAAGCAATTGCTGGCTGGACCCCAGACCATTTTTCCTCCCCTTGGGAGTGGGGGGGCGGGTTTGGGACTTCTGGAAAGTTTTTTTTTGGGGGGGGGGCGTTATTGACCATTATTAAAAATCTCCCTCTCTCTCTTTCTCTCTCTCTCCCCCCACCCTTCTCTCCAATTCTCTGGGCTCGGAATGTGTGTGTCGTGCGTTCCCTCTCCTGGGATGGGCCGCCCCCACCGCAATGCCCCCCCTCCGCCGCCCCCGACCCCCGACCCCTGTCTGCTCCCCCCCCTCCCTGCCGGGGTGCAGCCCCCTCCCCTCCGTCCTCCCTGCCCTCTGCCCCCGCCGGCCGTTCCCCCGGGGCCAGGGGGGCCGATGTGCGCCGGCTAGCCGCGCTGCCCGCTCCCCCCTTTGCCCGTCCTCCGGCGCGCGCGCACGCCCGCGTCCCCGGCGCGCAGAGGATGCCTCTCAGCCCAGCCAGCGGAAAACATGAGTGCCCGGAGCAGCAGCAGCAGCAGCAGCAGCAACAGCAGCGGCAGCAGCAGCGGCGGCAGCAACGGCGGCGGCGGCGGAGGCAGCAGCAGGAGGACGAGGAGGAGGAAGAGGAGGCGGAGGAAGAAGAAGAGGAGGAGGAGGAAGAAGAAGAAGAGGAGGAAGAGGAGGAGGAGGAGGAGGGAGAAGAAGACGACGAGGAGGAGGAGGAAGGAGAAGGAGGAGGAGGAGAAGGGGCAGAGGAGGCTCCGCACCGCTGCCAGGAGCTGCAGCAGGCCGGCGTGGTGAACGGCGATCCTGGGGGGAGCACGGAGAGCAGCCTCAGGGAGGAGACCCTGTATGATACCATCACGCCCCCCGCCGCCCCCGCCGGCCCCGGCCCTCGCTCCCCGGAGACGCCGGCCTCTCCCCCGCCAGGGCGGATGGACGAGCCAGCCCCCAACGCCCTGGTCGTGCGCATCGGCATCCCGGACCTCCAGCAAACGGTGAGTCGGGCGCGCGGGCAGCACCAAGGACAGCGGGCGGGGTGGGGGGGGGGGGGGCGGCGCGGGGTCCCTCGCCGGGGCTGGGAAGGAGGGAGGGAGGGGGACGCCGGCTTCCTCCTCCTCCTCCTCCTCCTCCTCCTCCTCCCCTCCCCGCTGCCTGTGGCTAAACTTTCACGCAACTGCGGTCCCGGGAGGGAGGGGGCGCAGCGGCCTCCCCCCCCCAATTCCCGCCTCCCTCCCTCAACTCTGCAGAGGCTGGGATGGTCCTGGATGCGCCCTCCCCCCTCCACAGCTGGTGGTTGGGAGGGGGGAGCACCTTGGAAGGGCTGCCGCGGCCACAGATGGGTGGGGGGGAGGGCTCAGGAGAAGCCCCCCACCCCAAAAAAACAACATTGCTGCTTTCTCTCGGGGCTTTGGGTAGCAGCTGGGCAGGCTACGGCAGCCAGGATGGGTGGGGGGGGGGGGGGGGCAAAGGGGGGGAGGCAGGGGGGTCCCGGGGGGTGTTCCTTGAAGGGGGGGGGGGGCAGCCTGGTCTCTGGAGATGGAGGGGTGTCCAAGAAGGGGCTGTTTGACCCAGGCTCCCCTGGAACTGGGCGTGCTGGCCAAGAGTGATGGGATTTGTAGTCTGCAATGGCCTAATCTGGAGGGAGGTTCTGTGGGCTCCAGTTATAAGGCACGGCGAGGGGGCATGTCAGGGGCCACAGAGGGTCCCTTGCCTCTCGGAGGATTGGAAGGCGGCCCTGCTGCGTGGGGTGTGGGGAGGCCTTTGGGGGCTCATCGGGGCTGGTCATCTACGGTGGAAGGAGAACTGGGGGTGTTTCAACTTTGGGGCAGGAAGCAAAGGGGGCTGGAGACATTCTCTGCGGCCCCTTCGGAAGTTGGAGCCCCCGTTCTGTGGGGCGAAGGGCTCAACGCTGTCCCCAGGCTGCAGCTGGGTTGCTCTGGGTGTCATGAGTGTGTGTGTGTTATGTGTGTGTACACTCACTTGCCCCCAGACCAGCAGGTGCCTGGAAGGTGGAGGTCCTTCCAAGGGCCCAGGAACCTGTGCTGGGGGAGGGTCTTGCTTGATGGACGGCGGGGGGTGGGTGGGTTGGCCTGGGCTCCCTGTTGGTTTTCCTTGGGGGAGCAGGAGACCTCTGCCCTTCAGACCCCCCGGGGGCTCAGGGAAGGTCTCCTCCCAGGACAGGAGCAGCCCTGCCCCGTGCAGGCGGTGGAGAGCAGAGGCCCGGAAGGTTCTGCCAGGCCGGCCAGGGCCGCCCACCGGCCCACCCGGGTCCTCCTGTGCCTCCCTTCGCCCACCTGGCTCCTCTTGGCTGCCTGGGCCAAGGAGCCGAATGGCCCAGGGGGACATTCCAGAGCGGTGGCTGGGCACTGTGGCTGGGGTGTGTGGGCGGGTGTTCGGCAGGGCTGGCGGGCTGCCCTTTCCTGGCAGCTCGACCGGGGGGGGGAATTGGGGGGGGGGGGGTGCAGGCAGGAATTCCAGCAACTGGACCTCTGTGGTCAGTTGGTTGTGCTGCCGGCCTTGGGTTGGATCGTGGGAGGTTCGGCAAAGTGCTGATTCTTCAAGGGGGAAACTCCTGGCGCGGCCTGCCAGGGCCTTGGAGGGAGGGGGGGGCATTTGGGGCTAGGTCACTATTGAGGGGGGGCAGGGTTGGACAGAGGCAGCTTTCCAGAGGGGAGAAGGGGGCCCGGGGAGGGTTTAGAGGGCTACAGCAAAGGGAGAGGGAGGGAGGGGCTGGAGAATCCCAGGGTTGGGGTTCAGGGCCCCCGAAGGCCAGTGGGTCCCCCTCTCTGTTCAGGGATGGGGGGGTTTTCAGACGGTCTTCCGGCCCCAGCCGGACATGGCTGCCTTCTCCCCCTGGGTCGTCCTCAGGCGCCCTGGCTGGCCAAGGAGGGGCAGAACTCTGGGGCCCCTTCCGGGGGGAGGGCCTGTGGGGGAGGGCAGGCAAGTCCCCTCCGCTCAGACTCCCCTGAGGGCCAAAGGGGCCGGGCCCTTCCCCTCCCTTCCTTGGGCTCCTCTCAGGCAGGGCTCCCCCAGGACTCGGGCGGTGGGGGAGGGGAGAGGGGAAAGAGAAGGGGGCCTCCCTTTGGGGGAGCACATCAAAGGGGCCTCTGGACCCATCTTCCCTTCCTTCCTTCTTTTCCTTCCTTCCTTTCTTTCCTTTCCTTCCTTCCTTTCTTTCCTTCTTTTCCTTCCTTCCTTCCTTCCTTTCTTTCCTTCTTTTCCTTCCTTTCCTTCCTTTCTTTCCTTCCTTCTTTTCTTTCCTTTCTTTCTGTCCTTCCTTCCTTTCTTTCCTTCTTTTCCTTCCTTCCTTTCTTTCCTTCCTTTCCTTCTTTCCTTTCCTTCTTTCCTTTCTTTCCTTCCTTTCTTTCCTTCCTTCCTTCCTTTCTTTCCTTCCTTTCTTTCTTTCTTTCCTTCCTTCCTTCTTTTCTTTCCTTCCTTCCCTCTCTCCTCTCTCTCCCCATTCCTTCCCTCCTTCCTTCCACCTCTCCTCTGTCTCCCCTCTCCTGTTCCTTTTCCCTTCCTTCCTTCCTTCTTCCTCCCTCCCTCCCCTCTTCCTTCCTTCCCTCTCCCATTTCCTCCTTCCTCCATTATTCTCCCTCCCTCCCCCCACCCAGTGCCCCTTGGAGCAAGGGAGAGGGAAACGCCCTGGTTGGTGGGGCTGCTGGGGGCTCCCTCCGCCCGCAGGGGCCAGATTAGAAGGCTGCCCAACGGCGCCTGCCAGCCAGCCGAGGGTGGCCCTCCCCTGCCCGGAGCCCTTCCGGATTCAGGGGCCCTCAGGGCTCATCCCAGCCACCCCCAAGACTGGGCGCTTCCCATCCACCTTGGCTGAGAGGGGCTCCATTTGGCACCCTGGGTGGGAGGGAGCCCAGGTGACGTAAACCATGATGGTCAGAATTGTGGCTTATTCACTACTGTGCAGCTGGCTGAGTGCCCAGGAGCTGCCAGGAAGCAGATTCTGCCAGCCGCCCCTTGAGGTCGCACGTCCTCCTTCCCTGGAGTCCCCGAATGGAGGCTGGCCATCCAGGGCTGGACTAGAGGACCTCTAAGGTCCATTCCAACTCTAGGGTTTGGGGAAGGCCTCCTGCCGAAGCCAAGAAACGGAGGCCGCTCTGAGAGCCAGCCCTGCTTGGCACTGCCCGCCTCCCCCCCCCCCGGCCTGGGTGGGGGGTGGGGGGAGAAAGGGGGCCTGACCCACCCAGGCAAGAAGAGGGCAGCAGGGTCAGCCCAAAGGCTGCCCCACGGAGGCTCCGATGGACTGCCCCCCAAAACTGCAGAGGGGCATCTTGCAGGGGGGGGTTGGAGCACACAGGAGGCTGAGTTACTCTTTGGAGGAGACCCCCAGGGGTCCGACTCTTCTGGCCCACCTTGCAGGCTGGGCTGTACCTGGCTTTTCCTTCCTTCCTCCCTCCCTCCCTCCCTCTCTTCCTTCTTTCTTCCCTTCCTTCCTCTCATTCATCTCCTTCCTTCCTTCCTTCCTCCCTCCCTCCCTCCTTCCTTCCTTCCTTCCTTCCTTCCATCCATCCATCCTTCTCTCTGTCCTCCTCCCTCCCTCCTCCCTTCCTTCCTTCCTTCCTCCCCCCCTCCTTCTTCCTCCCTCCCTCCTTCCTTCCTTCCTTCCTTCCTTCCTTCCATCCATCCTTCTCTCTGTCCTCCTCCCTCCCTCCTTCTTCCTCCCTCCCTCCCCCCCCTTCCTCGAGGGCCCGGGGTCTTCTGCAGGCTCAGAATCCTACAAGGGGTCCCGGCTGTTTGCCTTCCTTTCGGTTTCCCTCCGTTGGGCTTGTGGGACGCACCTTGGCTCAGCACGGTGCCAAGGAACAGCCGCTCATGTTCCCTCTCCCTGCTCTTCCACTCCTTTCATCCTTCTCCCTCATTCTGTGTGGCACAGAAGCAGGTTAAACCAATTACACATTTAAATTAGATGAGCCTCCCCACCTCTCACCCTTGGAGCAGGCTGCTCCCTTGACGGCACAGCCGAGCCTCCATATTCAGAGGCAGACCATCTGATAGGGGTGGTGGGGAGGATGAGGAGCAGGCGGGGCCTTTTCCCTGGACTCCGTTTGTGCTTCCCTCAGAACGATTAAACTGCCCCCGTTGGGTATCGCTCCGATCGGACCTTCTTGCACTGATCTGGGGGGGGGGGGTGTCCTCGAAGGGGGGGCGGGGGGGGGGGCTGGCCTTCCTCCCAGCTGCTTTCGGTAGCCTCAAAGCGTGAAGAGGAGAGGAGTCTTGGGGCGGGGTTGTGGTGATGGCAAATGTTGCCGTGGGAGGAAGTGGCGTCATATTATTTATGTATTTATTTATCTATTCATTTGTTCAGAAAATGTGCAACACTGGGCAGTCAACAAACAGTGCAGAAAGCCGAATTCATGAATACCAGCGTCAAGCCCCACAAAATGCGGTTCGGGCGGATTGTAAAAGTGCAATGAAAAGGCTCAGCCATGTGTGGCGCGCCCCTAACCTCCTAGCCCCATGGAAGAGGCGGGGGCTCATGGCCTTCCCAGAGGCCAGTGGGGGGGGGGGCCCGTTGATCTCTGGGGGGGGGGGTGTTGGCCATTCTGCAGAGGAGGAGGAGGAGGAGGCACGATAGAGAAGTGGCAACCCCCAGATCCTGCAAAGCGGCATTCGTTCCCAGACCCAACCTGGCGCATCGCCCTCCGCCAGGCCTCTGGGCTGGGCAGAAACCGCTGGGTGGAAATGGCCTGCAGGTTTCTGGTCCTGTGTAACCCGAGGACCTTGAATTGCACCCGGGAGCGCACAGAGGTCCCTGGTTAAATGTCCCTGGAGTTTCTCCATCACCCAGGTCATGGTTGCTTTGGATTTCCTGGAGAACATTTGCCTTCCAATCCAAGAAGCTCCCGCCATTACGGAAGAAGCTTCTTGGATGAGAAGCCGAATGTTTTCAAGGGGGAAACTCCTCCCCACCCCCCCACAAGAAAGTCCAGTTGCCCTTTGAGAAGAAGATCCATGGTGTTAAGATCCGTGGCGTTACACAAGT